AAAAAAATTTTATTTTATTATTTTTTTGTGTGTGTACCATCAAATCAGATCTGACTGGTGCAGGAGGAGATTGTCCCTCCTTCTCCCAAAGAGCATCTAGTGGATTTGAACTGCACACCTCTGGGATTGCAATGCAGCTTCCTGCCACTAGGCCACCAGAGCTCCCTATACATTGCGTTTTGTACATGCACTTGATGTTTTATATAATCATTCTTCCACATAATATTTTATATAATTAATTACCATTGTTCTATGCATATTATCCAGCATGTTATCTATGCCTGTCTTTTCAAGCTTTTGTTTAACCTTTCCCATTGCTTCACCTCTCTTCCTCACTAGCCTCTTCTATCTCAGTAGTTTCCCCTCCTCCTTTTTCTGTCCCCTTCTCTCCTTTCCCTTTTAAACATTGATGCACTTCTTACTCGGTTATCTTTTTTTTTGCAAAAATAGTGGCCTTATGCAGTATTTATCCTCATATGGCTAATCAGTTTCACTCAGGAAAATGCTCTCTAGTCTCTCCCAAGTTATATAGTGTTTTATGAAGTCATTGCTTCTTAGAGTCACATAGTATTCCATGTTGTGAATGTACCACAATTTCTCAATCCATTCATTTGTTGGTGGGCTTTTGGGCTGCTTCCATTTTCTTGCTATTATGAATAATGCTGTTATGAGCATTGGTGTGCAAATGTCCATTTGTGTCTCAGTTCTTCTTTCCTTGGGATATATTTCTGCCAGTGGAATAGCTGGGTCATACGGCATTTCTGTATTTAGCTTTTTTGAGGAAACATCATAACACCGTCCATAGGGGTTGTACTATTTTACAATCTCACCAGCAGTGTATAAGAGTTCCAGTCTTTGTGCATCCTCTTCAACATTTATTGTTGGCCATTTTGTTGAACTTTGCCACTGCTACGGGAATGATGTGGCATCCTGTTGTTATTTTGATTTTCCTCTCTCTGATTGCTAGCGATTTTGAAGGTTTCCTCATATGTCTCTTGGCTATATGAATGCCCTCCTTTGTGAAGATTCTTTTCATGTCTTTTGCCCATTTTTGTGATTGGGTTTTCAGTCTTTCTTGTAGAGTTGCTCTAATATTTTGTAAACTCTGGTTATTCAACCCTTATCTGAAATGTCATTGCCAAATATTTTTTTTCCAGATTGATAAGCTTTCCTTTTTTTACTCTACTGAAGATGTTTTTGATGCACACAGGGATTTGATTTTGAGAAGGTCCCATTGGTCAAACTTATCTTCTCCAGGTTTTGCATTTTTGGCTATGTCTGCAAGCCTATTTATGCCATAGGCCAGGGCTTCTAATTTTGTACCCATTTTGTCTCTTATGATCTTTATGGCTTTGGGTTTTACCCTTAGGTCTCTGATCCACTTTGAGTTGGTTTTTGTAGATGGTATGAGATGCAGATTTTCTTTCAGTTTTCTGCAGGCTGATGTCCAGTTTCCCAGTGTCATTTGGTAAAGAGGCTGCCATTTCCCCATTTAGTACTTTTTATTACTCTGTCAGTATCAGTGGATTATAGGTTGATGGGTTGATTTCTGTATTCTTGTTCTATTTCATTGATCTATATGTCTTTTGCACTAATACCATACTGTTTTGATTACTACAGCTGTTGTAGTAGGGTTTTAAAAAAATTACTATTTTTAAAAATTTCCAGCAATTCTTTTTTTTTTTTTTTTAAATTTTATACTGGTTTACAGTGTGTAGTAGGTTTTGAGATCAGGAAATGAGATGCCTCTAACTTCATTTTTGTTTTTTAGAAGAACTTTGCTTATTCTGGGTCTCTTTCCTTTTCAAGTGAAACTGGAAATTTCCTTTTCTAGTGGCCTAGTGATAAGAAGCTACGCTGCAATCTCAAAGGCATGAGGTTTGAATCCCACTAGTTGCTCTGCAGGAGGATGGGCAATTTCCTCCCATGCGCTTAACTGTCTCTGAAAACCCCCTGGACGGTCAGCTACCTACGGTACACAACAACAACAACAATCATGTTATTTATGTATATAGACAGTGCCACTATACACATGTATGTGTCTTTCAAGACCATAGACATTTGTTTTGAGCTGTTTCCTGGAACAGTGAGTTAAAGAAGAATGGAAAGTGCTGACAAAACTGGCTTATTTCACAGAAAAATCTTCAATGTAAGAGGGTTTTTAAAAAAAATTTATTTTTATTTTATTATTTTTTGTGTGTACCGTCAGATCAGATCTGACTGGTATAGGAGGAGATTGCCCCTCCTTCTCCGGCAGAGCATCAGGTGAATTCAAACCGTATACCGCTGGGATTGCAGTTCAGCTTCTTGCCACTGAGCTCCCCAGTGTAAGGGTTTTTTATTATCTTTTTCTAAGTTAATGAATTCATTTTATTAATTATTGAAATATCACATAAAATATAGTTGCTCTTTAAAAAGTAAAGCAAACATATACTAAAAATGTTAACAAAGACTTGATAAAGGAACACAAAATCTGCTAAAAATAAGCCATTTAGAAAGAGAAAGCAGGAAGGTACCATTTTGGTTTATTGAAAAACCATAAAATATCTTAGGGAATAAGAAATGACTGAAAGTTTGGTTTCTTCAGCAAATTTTCCTTTGTTGTCTAGAATATAAGAATTTCTTTGAAAATATTCGTAGCCCTCTTGGAGGCAAAAGATGTTCGCATATTGCTAGTTTGGTTTCTCTGTTGCCAGATATAAAAATACCAAGTTTTACTTCTGTCTTTTTTTTTTTTTTTTAAATAGGACTAAATTTCATAGAGCTGGCCCCAAACACTAAACTCACGAGTAGTGTGTTACATCTGGAAAGTGACACATATAATAAAATTAAGTAGCGCTGAAAGAGTTTTATCTGTAGTTTTACATTATTTGAGTAATTTGAAAGAGCATTTGTTCTTTTAGTTAAAATGAAGGACAAAAGTTGTATAGGGAAATAAACTTTTAAAAGTTCTCTAGTATTATTTAAATCTTTGGATTTAAAGCAAATTATTTTTAAAAAAATCACAATGTGCAACTGAAGCGGAAACAATATTGTATTATGACTAATACAATTAAAAGAATATGTGTTATAGATTACACTGTTAACGGAACCTAATCACTAAGACCTTGTGAAAATGAATGTATTTTATGTCTATGTAGTTTGACTCATAGCGAATGGGTCGCAGGCAACTCGACAGCACATAACAACAATAGTCTGAAGAGTTTGTATGACTCTGCTTGTGGATATCTTCAGTCAGTGTAGTTATAACGTGTACTTGTTTTCCTCTCTTGTACTTGGGTTTAATTTTTCCTAACCACAAAGAATAGGGAAAGTGCACCACTCCCAAGCTTACTAAATCCACAGTGGTTTTTCAGTAACTTTGTTGATCTTGGTAATGACAAATGTGATTTCTGCTCTCTATCGTTGGAATTCAGCACCCCCTCCCCCTAACCCCTCTGCCCCCCACTCCCCCACCCCCTGCCGATACTTTTAAGGAAAGATTGTGTCAGTATTTTACCCTCTCAGAAGTTCTTACTTCCTGGTAATCATACTTCATATTTGGCTTATAAGGGCTCTTGCATTTTCTTCTTTGTTCATTGAAGTTTATTGAGTATTTTTCTAAATGTTAGGCACTAGGGATAAAGAACAAGATAGGCCAAACTCTTACCCTGGAATTCAGGCTTTGCCCCCTCAAGAACCTGGGGCTACCAGTTAGCCTTTCCAGTTAGTCTTAGTGGGAGCATAGATTGTTTTGGGCAAAACCAAGAGTGAGTGGGTGGGGCTTGAACCTATTTAAAACAATATAAGAACTGATCCTCTTAAGCCTTGAGGAATCTGGTGCAGGGAGATTTGCCTCTTACCATTTCACCTGCTGTGTACTGTGGAGTCCGAATTGACCCATAGCTCACCCACCAGCTGGTTTTCATTAGCAGGAAATGGTATCTCTTTCTCCTGTGTCACAGTTGTTGAATTCGAACTGCATGCCTTTAGGTTTGCAGCATAGCTCCTTTTGACTAGGCCATGAGAACTCCCTAAGGAATGAGATGAGCAAGTTTGAAATTATCTGGTAGATCTGGTTTACCTAGGCAGGCAGTCACTTTAGTTGATTTGAGGCAGCCCATTTTTTAAAATTTGTTTTATTTTTTTTGTTACTATTGCTTTACTTAAAAAGTTCATATATGTTGTATTTCATACAGTCATCCCTGTGCATTGTGTTTTATAAAATTAATTCTCATTGGACTTTGGCCATCATTACACTGTCTTTTCAGATCCCTACTGGATCCTTCCTGGCCCATTTTAACTGGTTATTCTTTCACAAGCAGCCTCTCTTCTCCTCTTCCTTTCCCCAGATTTCTCGGGTAGAAACTGTAATTGCTTCTTTGCCCAAGCATTCTCAGTTTTCTGCATCCGTCCCTTATGATTTCTGTTTGCTCATTTGGTTACTGAACTTTCAAAACACTTTCTTACAAAATTGAAAGAAAAAAAGTGTTTTAATGCTTTTAACATACAGGGCTTCGCTAAAGTGCAGAATCCCAGCAGAAGCTTCTCCTGCCTGGACCTAAAGCTGTTGTACTGAAGCTGTTTGATTTTTCCTTGTCTTCTCTGTCCTTTTTGTTTTTGTAACATTTTATTGTGATTTGAGTGTCAGTTTATTGTGCAAATAAGTTTCCTATTCAACAGCTGATGCATATATTTTGTGAGATTAGTTGCAATCCCCTCAATGTAACAGCATTCTTTAAACTTTCTCCCCTGGGTTTTCTGTTCCTACTCACCCATCTTTTCTGTGCTAATCTTTTTATTCCCTACTCAATTTGTAAAATCCTTTAATTAGTATAACTTAACCAACATACTTTTGGCATATCTGTGTAAAAAAATTTCAAATAAAAATCAAGTTTGCTAACAGGATTTTGTTAAGATTATAAGGAGCTAATTTTCAGATAAAAGAAAATTAGCCAAGCCCATGCAGATTGGCCCCATATTTGACTACTAGCCTAAATGATGTATTTTTGTCTTTACAGGTGTGAAAGTTGTGTTGATTTGCTGTTTGTGAGAGGAGCTGGAAATTGTCCTGAGTGTGGCACTCCACTTAGAAAGAGCAATTTTAGGGTACAACTCTTTGAAGATCCTACTGTTGACAAAGAAGTTGAGATTAGGAAAAAAGTGCTAAAGATGTAAGTATTATTGCGTGAATGGTTAAGTGACATGGAGATTTTTAACAATTATTTCAGTAATTAATATAATTATATAGTCATATAAATGTTGCTGGATTGCCAAATGAATTACTATAAATTCATCTATGTATTTTTGCTACTAAATAGAGTATTCTCTAGCAGTTATTTATTGATCTGGACATAGCATTAAAGAAATTTAAAGCAAATGAAGTGGTCATGTATATTTCTGTTTTGATGGTGTTTTTAAAATCTATACTTGAGGATTATATTTTTTTAAATTTTCTACTAGTTTATTTATGAAATTTAATACATTGTTTTCAAGAACAAATTCTTTAAATTTCCCTCATCCCCCCACCCAAAAAATTGTATAACCCTGTAATTAATACCCCCCCACCCCTGCACATCCTCATCCCTCTGCTTCCACCCTCTCCCACCTCTCTTGGATCCTTATACTCATTCTACAATAATGGTTTTATATATTATTTATCCTTGTGGGGCTGAGTTAGTTCACTCTGCATAATGCTCTCCTGTCCCTCCCAAGTTAGATAGTAATTTATAAAGTCATTGCTCCTGCATACTGCATAGTATTCTGTTGTGTGAATGTACCATAATTTCTCAGTCCATTTGTTTGTGGTTGGACATTTGGGCTGTTTCCATGTTCTTGGATGGTGGAATAACTGGGTCATATGGAATTTCTATGTTCAGCTTTTTGAGGAAGCACCAAATTGCCTTCCAGAGTGGTTGTACCATTTTATAATCCCACCAATAATGTATAGGCGTTCCTTTCTCACCACATCATCTCCAACATTTATTACTTGCTGTCCTGTTACTTTGCCATTGTTACTGGAGTGAGATAGTATTGAGAATTTTATGTTATGTAAAGGTGAATTCATTCTTAAACAGCCCAGCTTCTAGTAATGTTATTTTTCTGTTTCTATTTTGATTGGAAAAGAATAGATCTTCATTGATAGGTCCATGATTTAATAATTGCTATTTTTCTTTTATTTAATTAGCATATGTATATAAACACTGTGGTAGGCATATTAAGTACTAGACCTAAAATGATGAGTGTAAACATTTATAAATCCTGCCATCGTGAGATTTATAATATCATTGATTGCCTTTGAGTCGAGCATGTCTCACAGTAACACTATGAACAAAAGGCCTGAAGCCTTTCTGTAACTATCATAATTTATCAAAATTCCTAGGGTTTCCAGAGACATGTTGTTTAGGAAGTGGATGCCACTCCTGTAATAGCACTGCATAACTTAAAAATAAAATGATGAAAACTTATGCAGTGAAATTAATAATATAGTGAAAATGTAAATCAAGAAAAAGTTCTGTAAAGATTAAGTGTTCATATCACAGTGTGTAAGTTAAGATTTGAAGACTGTTTAAAAAAATCAGATTAAGGGAGCTCTGGAGCCTAATGGCAAGAAGGTGTGCTGTAGTCCCAAAAGTGTGCGGTTTGAATCCACCAGACCCTCTGCTGAAGAAGGAGGGCAATCTCCTCTAATGCCAGTCAGATCCGATTCAACGATACACAACAAGTAAAAAGGGTGGGGGGAAGGGGAAAAATCAAATGGTAGGTTAATATTTACATATATGTGGTGTTGGAGAAGAGTACTGAGTATCCCATGGACTGCCAAAAGACAAACAGATATGTCCTGGGAAGGATGTGGCCAGAGCGCTCCTTGGAGGCAAGATTGACAGAGCTTCATCTTTCATACTTTGGACCTGGAGCTAGGCAAGGCTATTACTTGGAAAGAGACATCATGCTTGGATAGATGAAGGGTCACTGAAGGAAATGAAGACCCGAGTGAGATGCATTGATGCTGTGACTTCAGCAGTGAGCTCTAGTGTCGCAGAGATGATGAGGATGGCACAGGACCGGACAAGTTTCAGCTCAGCAGGTCATAGGGTCTATATGAATCTTACTTGACAACAACATGTATCTTTTCTTATTACCGTTTTACTCTTTGTTTTCTATTAATATTTTGTACTTTATTATTTTCTTCCCTTAAATTACTTTATTCTTGTTTTAGAAATGGAAATAATTTAAAAATTTTAAAGAATGAAATTATTGTTGTTGATTGCCTTCGAGTCCAGCACAACTCATAGCGACCCTATGAACAAAAGGCCTGAAGCTCCTCTACAACTATCAGCATTTATCAAAGTTCATAGAGTTTCTAGAGGCATGTTGTTTAGGATATGGATGCCACTTCTGCTTCCAAGCCTGTCATAGTATATTATTGTTGTTATGTGCCATTGCAATGTATAGTGACCCTATGTATAGGATCTCTGAACCTTTCTCAGTCCTGAGCCAGTCTCACTAGTTCTGACATACCAACCCCTGGTGCCTCAGTTACTGAGTTAATCCATCTCATCCAAGGCGTTCCTCTTCCTGTGCTGTTCATCCACCCTTCCAAGCATGGTGTCCTTCTTCAAGGACCAATCTTTTCTGGCCACATGCCCAAAGTAAGTGAGACAGAGCTTCAATATCCTAGCCTCCAATGATAGACTTGGTTTCACCCTCTCCAGGACAGATTAGTTTGTTTTCTTGGCAGTCTATGGTATGTTCAAGATTCTTCTCCAGGAACACAACTTGAAGGCATGTATCCTTCTTCTGTCATCCTTAGTCCCTGTCTAACTTTCCAAAGCATAACAAGTAATTGAGAAGACTATGGCCTGGATTAGGTACACCTTTGTGTCTAGACTGACATCGTTGTCCTTCAGCACTCTGGAGAGGTCCACAGTAGCAGATTTTCCCAGTGTAATTAGTTTTTTCTTTTTTTCATTACTGCTGGTATTAAAGAGTGTTGATTGTGGATCCGAGCAAGCTGTATTTGCTAACAACCTCAATCTCTTGTCCATGTATTATGGTGCTGCCAATTGTCCCAGTGGTGAGAATCTTTGTCTTCTTGATGTTTAGCTTCAATCCATATTGAAGAATACAGCCTTGACCTTCTGTAGCAAGTGCTTCAGGTCTTCTTCAATTTCAGCAAACAATGTTGTGTCATCTGTATATCATAGGTTGTTAATGAGTCTTCCTCCAACCTTGATGCCACACTCTTCCTCATAAAGCCCTGTTTCCTGAATGATCTGTTCTCTGTACAAAACACTTAGAGTAGACTACCAGATATGGCAGCTGAAGTTGAGCCCTCAAATTTGGAAACACAAAGGAGGAGAAACAGTTCTAAGAAGCAATTAACAGTTTGTACGTGGAATGTGAGAAGCATGAATGTAGGAAAACGGGACATTGTAAAGAAAGAAATGGAACACATAAATATTGACATATTGGGTATTAGCAAAATGAGATGGACTGGCTGAGGGCATTTTGAATCCCATGATCATAGGATTTTTTTTATGCTGGAGATGAAAAGGTGAGAGAAAATGGGGTTGCTTTCACAGTTAAAAAGGCTGTTTCTAGATCCACCTTGAAATAGAATATTGTGAGTGATAGGATAATATCCATATGCATACAAGGAAGACTTGTTAATACCACTATCATTCAAATTTATGCACCTACAACCAGAGCCAAAGAAGAGGAAATAGATGATTTCTATCAACTGTTGGCAATGAGAAATTGATCGAACATGTCACCAAAATGCATTAATAATAATGGATGACTAGAATGCAAAAATTGGGAACCAAGAAGAGGGATCAGTATTTGGAAAATATGGACTTGGTGACAGAAATTAGTCTGTGGATAGAATGATAGAATTCTGTACCATCAATGATTTATTCATAGCAAATACCTTTTATAAGAAACATAAATAAATGTAGGTTATACACAGTGATTTCACCTCATGGGATGCACAGGAATCAGATTGATTACATTTGTGGAAGGAACCATTGGAAGAGTTCAGGATCAGCAGGAAGAACTAGGCCGGGTGCTGATTGTGGAAAAGACCATAAACTTCTCATATGCAAGTTCAAATTAAAACTAAAAAAGGTTAAATCATATCCACAGGAATCAAAATTTGACCTTGAGTCTATCTTCCATGAATTCAAAAAATGAAAATAATAAAATTTATGGG